GCCCCCGCGCACGATGCGCGCTCCCGGCCCGGGCTGGGGCTGCGCGCACCCGCACCCCGCCCGCGCTGCCCCGAGCGGGGCGCGCAGCCCCCTCCGCGCTACCCCAGACAAAGGGTGCGCGCACCACCCCCCGCCGCCGGGCACAGGATGCGCGCTCGCACACACACCCGCGGGCGCGCAGACACCGCGGCCGTGCCACAGGCGGGGGATGCGCGCACACACATGCTCGTGCACATGCATGTACACACACAGCCCGCACCAGCCCCCCCGGCGGGGGATGCACACGCAGAGCCCACACTCAGGGCACCCTCTAGGCAGGGATTCCCTCTCACACAAGGGTGAATCCACATTAATGTTCCTGCGTATGGGATGCACACACCTCTCAGGCGTCCCCACACATTGTCCTCGCACAGAGGGGATGTGCAGGCATGATCACACACACACCATGCACACACACACACACACACACACACACACACACACACACTTCCATGTACTGTCCCCTCCCATAGGCACACACCACCTTCTCCTGGTCCCTAGTGCATCCACAGCATCCCTTCCCAATTTTCCTTTCCCATTCCCAGCCCGGTCAGGGCATAGGCACACAACACCACAGGACTGTACCCGATGATGACCTGGCCTGCCCAGCCTTGCTATTGGCATGCTGAGGGCCTGCTGGAGGCTGAACCCCACAACAGAAATGCAGTGCCTGGGGAGCCAGGACCCTCACTGAGGCAGGGACTAATGCATTTTTGACATCAAGTTTTGGCAAGGTAGCAGGCTGCAATCAAAACTCAGCTACTCCTGCTGCATCTTGCTACCTCCCATGGTATTTTATAGTTCTTTATTGTTTTTCCTTGATCATTCCTGATAATGGGAGGAAGTGTCTTTCCCTCATTCAGTGATGCCCCACTATATTTCAGGCATTCAGCTTTCAAATCTACTCTCCCTTTCAAGCCCTTCTCTGTTTCTCAGGTTTCATAACAGTTCCTCTGTAACTTTGCCCTCTGCATTGTGTTGCTCAGGCTTTATCTCATCCTATAGAAGATTCAGCCTTCACTGTTGCACAATTTGCTGCTGGGATGAAGGCTTTCCAGAAGGCTTTCCAACAAAACTTTTATAAGCTTTTTATTTTTTTTTTTTTTTTTTAAATTCAAAGACCTCCTAATTCTTTTGCAAGCTAGTGTCAAGAAAGAGATTGGGCAGTATTTGCCATCATTATTTCAATTACAACACACTAAAAAGCAGGTTAAATTTGAATGCTCATTTTCTGTGCTAATTTTCACCTGTTTATGTAATCCCTTGTTCACTATCTTGGGGACATAAAAATGTATGATGCTTTTAAGAGTTTGCCCACCTTCTCCCAGCAGACTTTTTCTTAATGGCAAGCACAGCAATAGCCCTAATCACCGCTGAGTTCAAGGCTAGTTCTCTATGGAAAACTCTGGCAGAATATACTTTGTCTGAAACCTGGACATCTGTGGTATAGATATCCACGCCTGTGTGGCTCAGCCTCGTCTTACCCCTATGGTCACTCAGGGAAATTCTCTTCCATATCTTACATGTGATAAACAAAGCTCCATAGCAACCCATTCCTCTCCTCAGCTACTCTCCAACTGAAATGTCGATATCTATGTATTTTGTGTGTACATGTGTCTTTGTGTCTCATTACTGATTTTTGAATCTTCAAATCAGTTTCAGCGGAGCAAAAYTCTCAACAAAAAATTATGACAAGATAAGGAAAAGAAAGCAGGTAGATAAAGAAGATAACTACATATCTCTTYGTGCTCAGAGCACAGCAAAGGTGACATTAGGAGTTCATGTGTTGTTACRTACCTCAAAATCTGCATGGACATGTGACATCAGTGAGAAAAGTTTACTGGAGCTTCTGTCTTCTTTACTGTAGCTCAGTAAAACCCATGAGACTGAGCTATAGGAAACTGGAGTTCACTCCTTCAGAAGCTCATTAAATAATATGTTCTGAGGAGCTCCAGTTCTCCTCTACTGCTTTTCATGATGCAGTGAATGGTTTTGAAGCAGACTATGTTTCCTAGAGATTTTAATATTTGATTTTTCGTTTTTGATAAAGGAAGACTGTCTTATCTCCCTCTCATACACACCCCCCAGACTCTAATGAGTCTTCCTTATGGGGAAAACTGGCAGAAAGTGCTGTTGACAGGTGAGTTCCTGCAGTTCTTTGGCTACCCTGGTGTGCATGCCTGGTGTGCATGCTGTGTAGTCACTGCTCCAGAATAAGCAATTGATCAGCTTTCAAAAAGGAGAAGTTATTCTGAAATAAAAAGCTCTTTATTGTGCTAGTAAGTCCACAGTAAAAGTAAATTCATACTGGAAAATTATTTTTGCAYATAGAGGTACATTATCCTGCCTAGACATGTGTTTACATCACTGCACCTTTGCTATTCAATTTTCCTTTATAAACAAATACTAACAGTTCTTAGCTTGGCTTTTCTAAGCTTGGAGTTTTTATGTTCATGAGCACATCTTCTGCTCTTACACTGGCATGTTTGGATATTGAAGGGAAGCCTTTGTGGTTTCTCTAGTTACCAGAAATAAAATGCAAAATGTRTGGTCATGCCAATGAACAGTGTATTTCAAACCATGTGGGAAAGACTTTTAGAGGAGTTTAGTCTCACTTGGTCAGATAAGGGGAAGAAAGAAACAGCTTGAGTGAAACAGAAATCTCTTTTCTACCAAGATTCCCACTACAGGATTTTCTCCCTCATTACAGCGATGTTCTTCAGAGCACCTTTCATCCATCAAGATCATCTTTGTAAACATCCTGTGCCTCTTCCTTCTCACTTAACTCATTTGCATAGATGAACCTGCTAGATCTCTGTGAGGCAGTGCTTCCCAAACGCCTCCCTGCAGTGAGAGGAGAAGCTGTTTAGAGGAAGACATGGTTAGAGAAATATGGTCAGATATTTGGAAAGGTGTAGTTAAATATGGATATGACCAGGAGGATCATTCAAAATCACAGTCTAACTGTTGCAGGACATAATTTTCCTTTCCACTGCTGACCATCTTGACCATAYCAGTGAACTCATGTGACCCATTCATTTGCTTCCTTTTGAAGGAAGCAGTGTGAGTTTCTGTTTGTCAGGGCCTTGAAGGCACTACCAGGGCTGCTGGCCCCACCCTGCTTCCCCTGGAGACTCCCCAATTCCTGTCTATATTCCAGGACCCAATTTCAGCTCAACACAGGGGTTTCAACCCCTGCCTCCAAGACACTTCGCTGTGGAAAAGGGAATTACCTACTTACAGAGTGGTTTAGTGGCTATTCCGATCTTGTAGAGGCAAATATTACATTAAGCACCAGCAACTGGAGGACTGTTGTAATCAGCATCAAAGCTGGCCTGTCTAAATAAATGGTTGATCATTTTCCTGAATGCAATCGTCTCTGTTACTGCAATGCCAAGATGTAGCATCAGATGGTTTTGAAATATTTCCCAGAAGTGTGTCTAACAAATTACAAAAGATATTCTGGGAGAAGAGTGAACCCCATCCCAGTGCCCTTTCCATCACCCAGGACTTGCAGATAAAAACAAGTCAAACAAAGGCAACTTCTTGGCCAAGTCTAATATATTCTTAAAATAARTCACATTGGAAATAGCATCTGGCAGTAGCATAACCCACCACAGTTCAGACCAAGTCTGGTCTGGATTAGGGACTTCCTGATTATTTRAATTGCTTTCCATGCTTCCTATTGAGTGGTTGGGGCTTGTTTTGCTCTTTCCCCTTCTTTTTTTCCGGTTTTGGTTTCCTTTATCCTTTCCTTTTATATTTCTCTAATTCARAATAATATGTTTTCTATTCTTGTCACCACAGATTAGGCTCTGACATACTTTTTCCAAGTYTTGGGTTCTAGAGGGGCTCCTGGAAGTGTTTTCAGTTCTTCCACAGGATGCAATGGGACAGCAGTCTCACTAGTGTTTAAAGGCTGTCTTGTGGACACATCTAGGAACAATGTGCTGCTGCACACAGGAACAATAGTGGCAGCTTTTCCCTCTCCAGTGCATTAAATGGAAGCTTACTGAGTTGGGTATCACAAAAACCAGCAATGGAGCTGAGCAAGAGTATAGCCAGGAAGGATAGACCATGGGACATAGGCCATTGACAAATTAGCCACAGCTTCGATGGGTTTGAGGGAAGTCTTTTTGTCTGTTTATAAAAATTGATCCATTGTTCCTTTCTTCTCTGGCTGGAATTTCTTGGGTTTGATTTTTGTTTGTTTGTTAGTTAGTTAGTTAGTTAGTTTGTTTGTTTTTTTGTTAGTTTGTTTGGTTGGTCTGGTTTTTTGGGATTTTTTTTTTGTTTTGGGGTTTTTTTTTTTTTTTTTTTTTTTTTTTAATTCTGAACAATCTGCAGAAGAAAATAGTAGTTTCTGTTAGGGCTACAGTCAGTTGTAACATGACAAAATACAAACAGAAACCAAATTTGAGCTAAACATAGGCACATCATTATGATTGAAGCCGGATTATTAGAGTTACAGTTAGAGATATACAAAGTGACTTATTTCAAGTTTAAACATCTTATCATATGAAGACATCAAATAGATAAGATTAACTGGTTGGGTTCTATGTCAAGCAAACAGGAACCCTGGTGAGTGGCTCGTAGAGCTCCAGAAACCAGCATTTGGGTTGTAGGATGTAGGGCTGTCCTTTGTGTAACATCAGACAGTGATGATTTCCACAAAGTCAAAAGTCTTTTTTCAACCTCCTTGAGTAATGTATTGTAGCTTGCATTTTGATTAAAAAAAAAATAAATAAATAAACCAAAATTTCATTATATAATCTTCATGTTTTTATTTTTTATTAGCATGAGC